CGATTCCTGGAAATTGGCTGATGCATTCCCATACGTCGATTCCTGGAAATTGGCTGATGCCATTCCCATACGTCGATTCCTGGAAATTGGCTGATGCCATTCCCATACGTCGATTCCTGGAAATTGGCTGATGCCATTCCCATACGTCGATTCCTGGAAATTGGCTGATGCCATTCCCATACGTCGATTCCTGGAAATTGGCTGATGCCATTCCCATACGTCGATTCCTGGAAATTAGCTGATGCCATTCCCATACGTCGATTCCTGGAAATTGGCTGATGCCATTCCCATACGTCGACTCCTGGAAATTGGCTGATGTCATTCCCATACGTCGATTCCTGGAAATTGGCTGATGCCATTCCCATACGTCGATTCCTGGAAATTGGCTGATGCCATTCCCATACGTCGATTCCTGGAAATTGGCTGATGCCATTCCCATACGTCGATTCCTGGAAATTGGCTGATGTCATTCCCATACGTCGATTCCTGGAAATTGGCTGATGCCATTCCCATACGTCGATTCCTGGAAATTGGCTGATGCCATTCCCATACGTCGATTCCTGGAGATTGGCTGATGTCATTCCCATACGTCGATTCCTGGAAATTGGCTGATGCCATTCCCATACGTCGATTCCTGGAAATTGGCTGATGTCATTCCCATACGTCGATTCCTGGAAATTGGCTGATGCCATTCCCATACGTCGATTCTTGGAAATTGGCTGATGCCATTCCCATTGATTCCTGGCAATTGGCTGATGCCATTCCCATACGTCGATTCCTGGAAATTGGCTGATGCCATTCCCATTGATTCCTGGAAATTGGGTGAGTCATTCCCATCGATTCCTGGAAATTGGGTGATGTCATTCCCATCGATTCCTGGAAATTGGCTGATGCCATTCCCATCAATTCCTGGAAATTGGCTGTCATTCCCATCAATTTCCTGGAAATTGGCTGATGTCATTTCCATCGATTCCTGAAATTGGCTGATGCCATTCCCATTGATTCCTGGCAAATTGGCTGATGCCATTCCCATACGTCGATTCCTGGAAATTGGCTGATGCCATTCCCATTGATTCCTGGAAATTGGGTGATGTGTCATTCCCATCGATTCCTGGAAATTGGGTGATGTCATTCCCATCGATTCCTGGAAATTGGCTGATGCCATTCCCATCAATTCCTGGAAATTGGCTGTCATTCCCATCAATTCCTGGAAATTGGCTGATGTCATTCCCATCGTTCCTGAAATTGGCTGATGCCATTCCCATCAATTCCTGGAAATTGGCTGTCATTCCCATACGTCGATTCCTGGAAATTGGCTGATGCCATTCCCATACGTCGATTCCTGGAAATTGGCTGATGCCATTCCCATTGATTCCTGGAAATTGGGTGATGTCATTCCCATCGATTCCTGGAAATTGGGTGATGTCATTCCCATCGATTCCTGGAAATTGGCTGATGCCATTCCCATCAATTCCTGGAAATTGGCTGTCATTCCATCAATTCCTGGAAATTGGCTGATGTCATTCCCATCGATTCCTGGAATTGGCTGATGCCATTCCATCAATTCCTGGAAATTGGCTGTCATTCCCATACGTCGATTCCTGGAAATTGGCTGATGTCATTCCCATCGATTCCTGGAAATTGGCTGATGTCATTCCCATCGATTCCTGGAAATTGGCTGATGCCATTCCCATCAATTCTGGAAATTGGCTGTCATTCCCATCAATTCCTGGAAATTGGCTGATGTCATTCCCATCGATTCCTGGAAATTGGCTGATGCCATTCCCATCAATTCCTGGAAATTGGCTGTCATTCCATACGTCGATTCCTGGAAATTGGCTGATGTCATTCCCATACGTCGATTCCTGGAAATTGGCTGATGCCATTCCCATACGTCGATTCCTGGAAATTGGCTGATGCCATTCCCATACGTCGATTCTGGAAATTGGCTGATGCCATTCCCATACGTCGATTCCTGGAAATTGGCTGATGCCATTCCCATACGTCGATTCCTGGAATTAGCTGATGCCATTCCCATACGTCGATTCTGGAAATTGGCTGATGCCATTCCCATACGTCGATTCCTGGAAATTGGCTGATGTCATTCCCATACGTCGATTCCTGGAAATTGGCTGATGCCATTCCCATACGTCGATTCCTGGAAATTGGCTGATGCCATTCCCATACGTCGATTCCTGGAAATTGGCTGATGCCATTCCCATACGTCGATTCCTGGAAATTGGCTGATGCCATTCCCATACGTCGATTCCTGGAAATTGGCTGATGCCATTCCCATACGTCGATTCCTGGAAATTGGCTGATGCCATTCCCATACGTCGATTCCTGGAAATTGGCTGATGTCATTCCCATACGTCACGTTCGATTCCTGGAAATTGGCTGATGCCATTCCCATTGATTCCTGGAAATTGGGTGATGTCATTCCCATACGTCGATTCCTGGAAATTGGCTGATGCCATTTCCCATTGATTCCTGGAAATTGGGTGATGTCATTCCCATCGATTCCTGGAAATTGGCTGATGTCATTCCCATCGATTCCTGGAAAATTGGCTGATGCCATTCCCATCAATTCCTGGAAATTGGCTGTCATTCCCATCAATTCCTGGAAATTGGCTGATGTCATTCCCATCGATTCCTGGAAATTGGCTGATGCCATTCCCATACGTCGATTCCTGGAAATTGGCTGATGCCATTCCATACGTCGATTCCTGGAAATTGGCTGATGCCATTCCCATACGTCGATTCCTGGAAATTGGCTGATGTCATTCCCATTGATTCCTGGAAATTGGCTGTCATTCCCATACGTCGATTCCTGGAAATTGGCTGATGTCATTCCCATACGTCGATTCCTGGAAATTGGCTGATGTCATTCCCATCGATTCCTGGAAATTGGCTGATGTCATTCCCATACGTCGATTCCTGGAAATTGGCTGATGCCATTCCCATACGTCGATTCCTGGAAATTGCTGATGCCATTCCCATACGTCGATTCCTGGAAATTGGCTGATGCCATTCCCATACGTCGATTCCTGGAAATTGGCTGATGTCATTCCCATACGTCGATTCCTGGAAATTGGCTGATGCCATTCCCATACGTCGATTCCTGGAAATTGGCTGATGCCATTCCCATACGTCGATTCCTGGAAATTGGCTGATGTCATTCCCATACGTCGATTCCTGGAAATTGGCTGATGCCATTCCCATACGTCGATTCCTGGAAATTGGCTGATGCCATTCCCATACGTCGATTCCTGGAAATTGGCTGATGCCATTCCATACGTCGATTCCTGGAAATTGGCTGATGCCATTCCCATACGTCGATTCCTGGAGATTGGCTGATGTCATTCCATACGTCGATTCCTGGAAATTGGCTGATGCCATTCCCATTGATTCCTGGAAATTGGGTGATGTCATTCCCATACGTCGATTCCTGGAAATTGGCTGATGCCATTCCCATTGATTCCTGGAAATTGGTGATGTCATTCCCATCGATTCCTGGAAATTGGGTGATGTCATTCCCATCGATTCCTGGAAATTGGCTGATGCCATTCCCATCAATTCCTGGAAATTGGCTGTCATTCCCATCGATTCCTGGAAATTGGCTGATGTCATTCCCATCGATTCCTGGAAATTGGCTGATGCCATTCCCATACGTCGATTCCTGGAAATTGGCTGATGCCATTCCCATACGTCGATTCCTGGAAATTGGCTGATGCCATTCCCATACGTCGATTCCTGGAAATTGGCTGATGCCATTCCCATACGTCGATTCCTGGAAATTGGCTGATGTCATTCCCATACGTCGATTCCTGGAAATTGGCTGATGCCATTCCCATACGTCGATTCCTGGAAATTGGCTGATGCCATTCCCATACGTCGATTCCTGGAAATTGGCTGATGTCATTCCCATACGTCGATTCCTGGAAATTGGCTGATGTCATTTCCCATACGTCGATTCCTGGAAATTGGCTGATGCCATTCCCATTGATTCCTGGAAATTGGCTGATGTCATTCCCATACGTCGATTCCTGGAAATTGGCTGATGTCATTCCCATACGTCGATTCCTGGAAATTGGCTGATGTCATTCCCATACGTCGATTCCTGGAAATTGGCTGATGTCATTCCCATACGTCGATTCCTGGAAATTGGCTGATGTCATTCCCATACGTCGATTCCTGGAAATTGGTGATGTCATTCCCATACGTCGATTCCTGGAAATTGGCTTGATGCCATTCCCATACGTCGATTCCTGGAAATTGGCTGATGCCATTCCCATACGTCGATTCCTGGAAATTGGCTGATGTCATTCCCATACGTCGATTCCTGGAAATTGGCTGATGTCATTCCCATACGTCGATTCCTGGAAAATTGGCTGATGTCATTCCCATACGTCGATTCCTGGAAATTGGCTGATGCCATTCCCATACGTCGATTCCTGGAAATTGGCTGATGCCTTCCCATACGTCGATTCCTGGAAATTGGCTGATGTCATTCCCATACGTCGATTCCTGGAAATTGGCTGATGTCATTCCCATACGTCGATTCCTGGAAATTGGCTGATGTCATTCCCATACGTCGATTCCTGGAAATTGGCTGATGTCATTCCCATACGTGATTCCTGGAAATTGGCTGATGCCATTCCATACGTCGATTCTGGAGTCCGTTTCTTGGCTCTTGTCGCTTCTGTCGCTGCGTCGGTGTGTAGTGAATCCTTTTCCTAAAGTTTCCCCGAAAGTTGGGGCCAAGGTCTATGTAAGCCCTTATGTAGACCTTGGGTGGCGCCCCTGGATTAGACCTTGGGTGGCGCCCCTGGATTAGACCTTGGGTGGCCCCCTGGTTAGACTTGGGTGGCGCCCCTGGATTAGACCTTGGGTGCGCCCTGGATTGGACCTTGGTGGCGCCCCTGGATTAGACTTGGGTGGCGCCCCTGGATTAGACCTTGGGTGGCGCCCCTGGATTAGACTTGGGTGGCGCCCCTGGATTAAGACTTGGGTGGCGCCCCTGGATTGACCTTGGGTGGCGCCCCTGGATTAGACCTTGGGTGGCGCCCCTGATTAGACCTTGGGTGGCGCCCTGGATTAGACCTTGGGTGGCGCCCCTGGATTAGACCTTGGTGGCGCCCTGGATTAGACCTTGGGTGGCGCCCCTGGATTAGACTTGGGTGGCGCCCTGGATTAGACCTTGGGTGGCGCCCCTGGATTAGACCTTGGTGGCGCCCCTGGATGACCTTGGGTGGCGCCCTGGAATTTAGACTTGGGTGGCGCCCCTGGATTAGACTTGGGTGGCGCCTGGATTAGACCTTGGGTGGCGCGCCCCTGGATTAGACCTTGGGTGGCGCCCCTGGATTAGACCTTGGGTGGCGCCCCTGGATTAGACTTGGGTGGCGCCGCTGGATTAGACCTTGGGTGGCGCCGCCCTGGATTAGACCTTGGGTGGCGCCCCTGGATTAGACCTTGGTGGCGCCCCTGGATTAGACCTTGGGTGGCGCCCCTGGATTAGACTTGGGTGGCGCCCTGGATTAGACCTTGGGTGGCGCCCTGGATTAGACCTTGGGTGGCGCCCCTGGATTAGACCTGGTTGGCGCCCCTGATAGACCTTGGTGGCGCCCCTGGATTTAGACCTTGGGTGGCGCCCCTGGATTAGACCTTGGGTGCGCCCTGGATTAGACCTTGGGTGGCGCCCCTGGATAGACCTTGGGTGGCGCCCCTGGATTAGACCTTGGGTGGCGCCCCTGGATTAGAACCTTGGGTGGCGCCCCTCTTAGATCCTTGTGGCGCAGTCCCTCACAAGGAGCGCACAGCCAGGCTGACCACGTGTTCGGAACCATTGTTAGCGTCTTCCTTGTCTCTCGTTTTCGATACATTTATTTCTTTTATTTTTTGTTAGTATGTAATGGTGATGGCAGTTATTAGTTTTATTATTATCATTATTATTAGTAGTAGTAGTAGTAGTAGTAGTAGTATGTTTTACTATAATGGTTATTTTTATTTTTTTATTACTTCTTTTTTATCTTCTTAGTTTTTTTTTTTTTTAATTTTTTTATTGTGGTATATATAATTTTCATTATTGTTATTATCATCATTATTACCATTATTATCACCATTAGTATTTCTCATTGTAAGATATTATCATTATTGATTTGATCATTGCGATTAATTTTACTATAATTATGATTGTTTATGTTATGATTATTACAATTGATATGTAGTATCATCAGTATTATTATTACTATTATCATTATTAATATTATGATTATCAACATCATTATCATCATCATAATGTTCATAATTGCTGCTACTGTTTTATCATTATTTTTGTTATTATTATTATAGATATCATCATCTTTTTTATTATTACCATTATTGTCATTATCATCATCATTGTTACTATCAGTATTATCATTCATATTATTATTACTATTATCATTATTATTTATATCATGCTTACTTCCAATATCATCATTTATCTTAAATATACTTTTTTATTGTTGTTTTTTGTTGTTTTTTATTAATATTATTACTAATTTTTATTGATTCAGTTGAAATATAAACACGCTAATGATAGATTTTTTCCTCTTCTTTTCCTCCTTCCCCTTTCTCTCTCTCTCTCTCTTTCCACCTTTTCTCATTTCTTCACTTTTCCCTCACTTCTTCACTCTGTTCTTCCTCTTCCTCGCTTATTTTCTTTATTTATAATTGTCCTTTTTACTCTTTCTCCTTTCTTTGAAATCCTCCCTTTCTCTCTCTCTCTTCTCTTTTTTCCATAACTCTCCCTTCCGCTGTCTCTCCTCTTCCTTCTTGTCTCTCTCGTTTCCTTCCTATCTCTCCTCTTCCTTCATTCCTTTCATCCTCCCTTCTTCACTCTCTCTCCTCTACCTTTATCTCTTTCTTTTCCCCACTTTCTCCCTCCTCCACCATATCCTGTCCAACTCTATCTTCTCTTTCTTTATGCTCCGTCTTCCCCTCTATATTTCTTTACCTCTCACTCCCCCCCCCCATTACCATTTTTATTTTTTATCATATTCCTCCCTTTCTATTCTCTTCCTCTCCCCCCCCCCTTTCCTATTCTTTCCGTACATCATTTCTTTCTCTTTTTTCTTTGTATATCTTCCTCTTTTTTTCTCATTTTATTCCTTCCTCTTTCTCACTCCTTTTCCAACAATCTTTCTCTTCATTTCTCCTTTCTTCCTTTTTTTTCTCCCTCTCTCTTTTCCCTACCTCTCCTTTTCTCTCACTCCTCTTCTCTTATTTTCTCCTTTTCTCTTCCATTCGTTTTTCCCTCCTCATTCTTCTCTCCTACTCTGCTCTTCCTCTATATTTCATTTTCAACCATTTTCCCCATTCTCCGTTTCCTCCTTCCTCTTACTTCATTCCTCACTTCGCTCTTTCCTCTATTTTCTTTCCCTCCCTTACTGTTATTTTCCCTTAATCTTGTGTTTCTCTTCCATCTTTTCCTTCTTCCTCCCTCCTTTTCTCTTCTTCCTTCCTATAATTCCCATCCCCACATTCATCCTCCCTTTCCCTCTCCTTTCCATCCTCATTCCCATCGCCCATCAACACGACGGTTAATACGAGCTTCTTCCTCCCTCAGACCGGACGCCGTTGCATCTCTGGCAGCCATTTTCGGTCACGTGCCAGTTCGCACCTCGTCGACTTGGGTCAGGCGACAGGAGCGACATTTTATTACTGTCATTACTGATCGTGTTGTTTATATTTTATTTTAATCAGTATTTTTATATTTGGTGAGTTTCATTAAGTGTGAAAATGATAATGATGATAAAAGAGTAATGATAAAGATTTTAAAGAACAGAAGCATAATAAAAAAATAATAATAATATAATAAGAAAGGAAAAAATAAAAGAATAGAAAATGAAAGAAACTAAAGTAGGTTGAATTGAGAAAAAGAACAGAACAATAAAAACTTAAACATATGAAATGGTAGAGGAAAAGAAGGAAAAGACACAGGAATAAAAATAATCAATAAAACAGAAAAACAACAATAATAAGAATAAAAAGGCTTCAGTGAGGCTACAGGAAAGACATTTCTTTTCATAGATATTATTGGTCATGTTTTTAATCATTATTTATCTTTTTTCATTATCAATAATAAAGTTTAAAAAATGATATTACCAAAAGTAATTATCATAATAATAGTAATATTATACTATCATCATCCCATTACTACTAATATTTTTCATACAATATCTTGAGAATAAATATCTCGGGAAAAAGTGACTAATTGGCACCTTTCGCCATGTTCCCGCGCTTTTAGTGAGAAAATCAAGTGGTTTGTACGGCAGTATTTAGCCTATTAAAGGCACCTCATGACTGTTCTCTTCACATCCGATGGTGTTTATACTAAGTAGTGCTCTTAGCTGTTGTATTCTTTGCTTCTGAGCGCCATTTTGTGAGACTCAAAGCGCAGGGTTTCGGCGGGAGTTGCCAATTAGTCAGATTCGCAGAGCCGATATTTATTCACCAT